ATAAGCACTTGGGGGCTGCTCGGGTGGTGCTTGTCTACGAAATAATTGAGGGGGACGTTGCTGGAAACTCCCACCATGGTTCGGGCCAGGCTGCTGGTAAAATGACTTCCCGTACCTCAAGTTTGGGTGATCGCGCCAACTGGGATTATATGTACTCGAGAATGGATCATATTGCTGCTTCCTGGAAAAGTTCCCATTTGTACCGACTGCATTCGCATGTGCCTCGATTTTATTCTCTATCACGGGACAAGAGTCGGTATCATGATCGGTGGTGGCACATATTCGACAAGGCTTCACTGGCTTCATTCCTCCAACAGATAATTGTTTCACCAAAGTTGTTAGTTCCATAAGCTTTTTCTCTACAACAGAGTTATTTGTTCCCGTCCCCGCTTTAAGTGTCACATCATTACGGGTGCCAAATTGTTGTGAGTTCGCCGCCATGGTGGCAATTATACGACTTGCTTCGGCCGGTGTTTTATCGACAAGGGCTCCACCACTTGCAGCATCAACCATGTTCCTATCCATCAATGCCAGGCCCTCGTAGAAATATTGGATCAGTAGTTGCTCGCTAATTTGATGTTGCGGGCAGCTTGCGCACAATTTCTTGAAACGCTCCCAATACTCGTATAAGTTCTCCCCATGTAATTGTCGCACCCTGCATATCTCCTTACGTATGTTGGCAGCTCGGGATGCTGGAAAGTATCTCTCCAGGAAAAGTCATTCCATTACCTCCCATGTTTCAATCAAGCCCGACGGAAGGTAATAAAGCCAATCCTTAGCCGCATCCTTCAATGAAAAAGGGAAGGCTCGCAACTTGATTTGTTCTTCTGTGATACCTGTTGGTTTCATGCTGGTGCAAACCAAGTGAAGCTCCTTCAAGTGCTTGTATGGATCCTCTCCTGCATGACCATAAAACGAAGGTAAATAATGGATTAACCCATATTTCAGTTCAAAGGTAATGTTATCGTCTATAGCAGGAAAAGTAATGCAAAGAGGCGAATATCCAAATTAGGAGCTGCCAGCTCCTTTAATGTTCTATT